GTACTGACTAGATGGCACCTAACAACAACAACATGAGTCAGAAATGACTCGATGTCACTTAACAACAACAAATAGCAGCTTCAAGGAGCCCTGGGAGCACAGTGGTTAATTGCTCAGCTGCTAACATAAAAGTCAGTGGTTCAAACCCATTGTCTGCTCCATAGTAGAAAGATGTGGTGATCTGCATTTGTAAAGGTTTATAGCTTTGGAAACCCTACTGGGCAGTTCTCCTCTGTCCTACAAGGTCCCTATGAATAGGCTTCATGTAGCAGCATCTACAGAAACATAGCAGCTGATAAGCCTTTTCTATCCCTGTTGTTCTTAGTGTTGTCCAGACTCAGAACAACCCTGTATAGGGATTTCAAGTTCGAATCACTGACCTTGCAGTTCAAACCAGCCTTCCAGTCTAGTGCTTATCCTATCATGCTATATCAGGACTCCTTTAGAATGATAGAAGCAGGCTTTTCTGCTACCAACCATTTATTATTTTAACAATTCTAACACGTTACTTCACAGAAATAATTTAAATGATTTATGTTACAAAATAAACACAACTGAAACCTGGCTGAGAACAAATATAAAGTAAACTGGAAGATCAAAACCTGAAAAGCAGATATTGAGGTCAGAGGTCCTTCTGCAGACACTAAATCGGAATCACAAATTTGGTTCTGAACTTCTAGAAGACCAAAACAGAAAAGAAATGCTGTCGCTTAAAGGTAACCATGGAATCCTGGTGTGGCACTGTAGGATAAGTGCTCGACCTCAAGATCAGTTTGAACCGCAAGTTTGGTGGTTCAAACTCACCAGCCACTCCTTGGAAACCCTATATAGGGTGACTATGTCTCAGAACCAACTCCACAACATTTAACAACAACAACAACAAAAGTATACATGATTAATCTCTCAGAGGAAGAAAAACTCTCTTTCCCCTTGATTCTGAATAAAATTTTCATCTGGTATTTTATGTGGTGGCAGTTGAACGATATTGGGGGGTGGCACACTATTCTTTTAGGAATGTAATAGCAGCTGGTTGTTGGTATAATCAAAGTCCCACCTCCGCTGCTAAGTTACATCGTGAAGGGAGTTGAGGGTTTTATACCAACGCGCTCATCAATGAAAGCCATCCCAAGAACAGCCCACTACGTAGCTTTCTGTTGATGTAGCTTAGTGAAGGATAAGACCTGTAACAACTCTGGTGAATGGATGTACTGTCTAGTCTCTAAATGATTCCTCACAAATATCAATTTTCTCAGTAGGGCCTTTGCTATGAGCCAGGCAGCAAAAAGTTTAAGGTTAGATTCTTTGAACTGTATTCCAGGTATCCTGCTATACAAATCTAGCTGTTTTCACCTAACAGTTAAGAAATACAGAATTCTATTTAATCCTATCCAACTTATTGGCTGTACGTTTTGTTTTAGGTGAAGTGCCATCTTTCTTCCCTTTTCTGTCCTGAAGAGTTTCATGCCTACCATTCTGGGGTTCTCAACTAAACTCAACACACAAATATCATTTATGATTTCCTCCACTAGCCTGGGCCATATGACTTGTAAGTAATCAAATGTTATTTCTCACAGATAAACCTATGCCTGGACTGCAAGATAATGGCTCAAGCCTGTTTACTAGGATTTCAAGTTAATCAGAAAACATACTCGGATTGAGTCTTCTTAAATCACAGCATTGATAGATCTAGTCTATTCTTGTCACACTGAGAAATTTGATTCCAAACTTAATATCAACATTTGGTAGCAACTTTGATTGTAAAGTCATTAATTGAACATAACTGGAATTTTTCAAATTTAGTACAAGTCTACTTGAAGTGTACGGCTGTATTTGGATAAATTTCAACGGAATGATATTTGTGCAACAGGACAAATGGATCTATAACGGGAATGATGCCAGAACACTTTGAAGAAGACTTATAAACCACATTTGTTTTTACTATGGTGTACCCTTGAACTTTTCTTGACTATACACTAGGTTGCTTTGTGACATCTACATTTCCATTTTGAATAGAATATAACTTGTAAGGCAAAGGATGTCTTGGGTATGCTTATCTTGAATTCCTTGGAACCTAGTTCAAAATAGATATTGGAAAAAAAAGACGGGAAAGTGGTGATGGTCAATTATTATTTTTAAGTGCCACTGAGTTGGTGCGGAGTCACAGTGACCCTGTATAGGGTGTCAGAGGCTGTAAATCTTTGTGGGAGCTAAAAGCCTCATCTTTCTCCTAAGGAGTGCCTGGTGGACTCAAACTGCCAACCTTGTGGCTCACAGTCAAGCACTTATCTGACAGAGCCACCATGCTCCTAGATGACGGTCAGTAAGGTGCCAAAGAATATACTGTTCATTGAAAAATAATTGCTATGTTTCTCATTATTTTCCTTTCATCCTGGTTACTTTTTTTTTTTTTTTTAATTTTTCATTGGTAAGATTTTTAAAGCATGGCACATTAAATGTCTTTGATAGAGAGACTCCATCTGACCTATTCTTTGTATTCAGAGTGACAGTTATGTGTGAACGCGTAACATCTATCTGTCACTTAAGTTTAAAGATATCAGACTCAACAATCAAGAATCCACATAAATAAAACCACTGAATGAAATAGAGAAGGAACTACCCTTGACACATTTGTTAATATCTATATAAGACCTTTTCAAGCTGGGCACCAAAAAAACAAATAAATATATCCCAACTGTTTGAGTTAAGTTTAAAAAATATATATATAGATGGTAGTAGTGATGTCCTGTGGAGTCAGTTCTGACTCATAGCGACCCTGTACAGGGTTTCCAAGGTTGTAAATCTTTACAGGAGCAGAAAACCTCATCTTTCTCCCACGGAACAGCTGGTAGTTTCAAACTACTGACCTTGAGGTTAGCGTCCTGACTTGTAACCACTATGCTATTAGAGCTCCATATATATATTTTTTAATCATCAAGAAGTCTAGAGAAGTAACTAGAGTTCTTTTAATAAAAATATTCTGGGCAAGCTACAATTTAACCAGCTTTAAAGTCCAGGAGTCCTGGTGTGGTGCTATAGGTTAATGCGCTGGACTGCAAAGAATGTTTGAACTGCAACATTGGCGGTTCACACTCACCAGCCACTCCTCAGAAACCCTATACAGGGTTGGTATGGGTCAGAACTGACTCGATGGCACTTAACAACAACAACAAAGTCCAACACTATTAATGTAGAGAGTTAGGCGTTGGGCTGCTAACCGCAAGGTCAATAGTTGGACTCTATTAGCTGCTTGGCAGGAGACAGATGAAGTTTTCTGCTTTACAGCCTCAGAAACCCTTTACAGGTCACTGAGTTGGAACTGACTCTACAGCACACAACCATCACCATCACCAAATTTAGCAGAAGGCGACAGAGCAAAGAAGGCAAGAGGAGAGATATCGCAGGCTCTGAGCCCATAGTATTTGAGGAAGTCTGATTTCTGCTGGGGGTGGCACATACTCTGTCCATTTATTATCAGGTATAAAATGCATTGAAGGGGCCTTAGGGGCACAGTGGCTAAAATGCTTGGATGCTAACTAAATAGTTGGGTTTAAAATAGATTCTAAAATCACAGAAAATATTCTTAAATAGCAACATGGATTGTACTATTCTACTTTGCCACACCCAGAATTTTAGTTCTAAATTCAATACTGATAATCAGTAGTAGATTTGATAATCAACCCACTACTATAATGGAACATAACTGTAGTTTTTCAAAATTAAATCTCAAGTGCATTTGAAGTTGATGGTCATGGTGGTGGTTATGTGCTGCGGAGTCAGTTCTGACTCATAGTGACCCTGCATAGGTTCTGACTTGTATCTGAGGTTGTAAATCTTGATGGGAGCAGAAAGCCTCATTCTCCTGTGGAACCACTGGTAGTTTCAAACTGCTGACCTTGACGTTAGCAGTTTGACTCATAACCACTACGCTACCAGAGCTCCTTTTGAAGTAGATAGTTAATACAATTAAAATAATAATAATAATAATTTAAAAACTATGTAAACTGTAGAGTTGTATTTGGACAACATGATAGGATTTAGGATATTCTGTATGCCTCCCTCTTTACCCCACTCTGCTCTTGAGTTTTCTTTTAGTAAATAATTCTTCTTTTTAAGCTTCTTCGTTTTAGACAGTTTTCTTTTTTTGACAAGCATTTAAAAATTATTTGTATGAAGACAAACAAATCAGCTAGAAACCTTTCTCTAGAATTGCTTAAGCAAACTCTCCTGAACTACAGGAACACTCTCAATGCCCTGGAGTACTGAGATTTTCCTCCGGCAGTGCACTGTTGGTGAGAGTCAGTGATTAGGCCTCTGGACATAAACCCTTCTATATATTTTTATCCATATACTTTAAGGAGTCCTGGTGTGGCACTGTAGGATACAGTACTGGTTGGTTTGAAGTGCAAGGTTGGTGGTTCAAACTCACCAGGCACTCTGCAGAAACACTATTCGGGGTCGGTATGAATCAAATACGACTTGACAGCACTTAATAACAACAAAGCAACATATATTTTCAAAGACCAGGCATTAGTCCTCCCTTGGTGGAAAAAAGACACAGATACAACCACTCTTTGAAGCAACAATGGATTTATTATTCCTCTAACACACGGTATTCAAGAATACAATTTTAAAATTGCAAGCAAACTTAGGAAGCTTAAAGACTGAATTGTGTCATAAACAGAAACAGCTAGAGGATGGTTTAGGGAATGGCTCATACACATGGATGCTCCTGATTGTGAGTACGGAGATGAGTAGAGCAATTGTCCTATTCTGTCCCAGGTCTAAATGGCATTTTAAAGATTCCCACTTTTTCCTCTCAGTACCTCTGAATTGTTTCTAATTCTTAATGAAGTAGTAAGAAAATACGATTAAATTCACAGATTTGTGGGTTTTGCTCCCAAGATAAAAACTTTTTATTTTTTATTTAAGGTTGTGTGTGTGTGGTTTTTCTTAGTTCATTTCACTGGAGGAAAATGGTCTTTAACCTACCACAATAGATTCTATTAATGTGTTCAAATCTCTTGATTTAAAAAACATATTTAAAGAAATATAGAACCATGCCAATTTAGGGAAAAAGATTATAGGTTTGGAATTACAATCATGGCATGTTATCAAGAACCCCTACACAATCAGTTGCCTACAAAGCAGAGACCAGAAACTAGAGATGTTTGTCTAGAGTTGTTTGTTTCACATATATAGCACCTAAGGGATGCTGACAGTCTACCGACATCCTGCTTCACTAAAAGTTGAACACTACTTTTGTTTACTAATAATATTCATTTTCTATCAATTAATGCTATGCTCATGGTGCTTAGTCATTAAGGATCTAAAGGGAACCTAAGTTAAAACATAATCTTGATTTATATATCCATAAATATATCATTTTACTGAGATGTCAGGTACTTGTTTCCTATTTTTTTACAGTCACAGAACACTAAAGATCTACAATGACATTGTGAATTCTAGTCTCCAGGGAGTGCTGCTGATTTATTCCCTTATTCTTACAGGTACCGGCTCAGCTAATTCTCATTCTATTAGGCTACTCTCCCTTGTTACAAACACATAACTCTATATAGTTCAGCAAACAGATGCCTGTCCTCTCACTCTGCTTTAAGTGACTTATGGCTGTTCTCTGTGCCTTCCCACTTCTCCTATCAGTCTTATTCTGATCAGTAGGCATGAGCGTGACAGGTCCACGTTCTCTCCTACCCAGTCCAGGGCCCTGGCTTTGGGACAATTACTTTCCATGCTATTTGGAGGTTTGTTCCACATCCTTCTGAGTGACTAGCTTTGCTTTATCTGACTGGAGCTGTTTAAATTCTAACCTGATGGTACTAAAATTTAGACTTGCCCTCTATGGGAAAATAAGTAAGCGGCAAATAGGATTATACAACATTCTGTCAATCACCTGATTGTGGTTTTCCTTTGGCAGGTTGAGTTTTGGAAGTCTGTCTCTCAGGACTAATTTCTTTCTCTTTTTCTGGCTCTGGAGGAGGTGGAGGAGTAGGAAGTGGAGCCTCAGCCAAGGAAACTTCTTTTTTCTTCGCTTTTGTTTCTTCTAGTTTCTTATTAACTTCAAAGGGACAACAAGAATGGATTTTCATTAGGGATTCCAAACCCAAAACACCACACCCATTGACTCTGAGCAGCTCTGTAAGACACGGTGGAACTGTCTGTCCCACAGGGTTTCTGAGGCTGTGATCTCTAGAGAAGCCAGCTGCTTGCTATATCCTTCTCCTGTGGATAAGCTGGTAGGATTGAACTTTGCAGCCTTTTTGTTAGCAGCCAGACACTTTAACCACTGTACAACCAGTGCTCCTTCATTTGAAGTAAGACAAACCTAGTTAACATGAGATTGTTCTTACTGGTTTAAGACTCAAATCATACTTCTGGTGTCTCTGGGAAATTACCCACACAAAGAGCAAAGATTTTAAGATTTCTCTGTCTGATAAGAAATACAATTTCCCTTACTTCTTGATAAGGATCCCTGGTGGTGCAGTGGTTAAGCACTTGACTGGTAACCAAAGGTTGGCATCAAACCCACCAGCTGTTCCCTGGGAGAATGATGTGGCAGTCTGCTTCTATAAAGATTTATAGCCTTGAAAATGCTATGAGGCCATTTTACATTGCCCTAGAGGGTCTCTATGAGTTAGGTTCAACTTGTCTTGAGGGTGGTGGTGGGTTGTGTGTATGTGTATATGGAGCAAGCAGAAAGGGCTGGCGAGGAGTGGCCAAATGTAAAAGCAATAGCCTAGAAGTTCCTAATAAAGAAAACTAGGGCACTTAACAACAACAACAACAAGGCAAATAAAGGACTACTTTATAATATCCAGTTGACAAAGTATAAAGCTTAAAAAGAAGGTAAAGAGCAACGTGTCAGAAGAGGTTGGGGGGAGGAATGTGCAGTCGTAACATAATGAGCAGGCACAAGGGGGCTTTGAGCATTCATGGAAACAATCATTCCCTTTTCATTCCATTCCCCCATGAACTTGTTTGAAGCTCTCTCCTATAGGCTCCATTCCCACACCCCCACACCCCCATGTTGCCATAACTCAGAACCAACTGACGACAGTGATATTCTTTTTTTGGTTTTAGATGACTATTTTCAATTCAGTGAGTGAAGAGGCTTCAAAATGGAAATTAGACTTTTTCTGATTATAATGATTGGTTGAAAAAATAATAAAAGTAATAACAATCCAAGACTCTAGAATAATAGGTTATGGTTTTCATGTGTCGTCGAGTCAATTCTGTCTCAAAGTGACCCTGTATAGGTCCAAGGACTGGCTGGTGAGTTTGAACCACCGACCTGTGCTTATTCTACAGTTGTACACCTGGAAGAAAAATTGCTGATTAAGTAATCTGTGTCACTCCTTTCCCCATCATTAACTATATTGAATATACTGCCAGACTCTTTTCTGTGCTTATGTATTTAATATATGAGAGGACTTCAAAATGCTTGTGGACAAATAGAATGAAAAGATAATGGAATTTTTCCATGAACTTTTTGAAGCCCCCTCATATTGTGGTGCTGGGGGTTCGTGCGCAGGAATGCAAGGTTGGTTTGTACCACGAGGTCAGCGTTTCAAACTTGTCAGCCACTCTTTGGAAACTCTATATGGACAGGGTCGCTATGAATCAGAATGGACTCAATGACACTTAACAAACAACAACCTGTATACATACTTTTGAAAATAAAAATGTGATTATTTTATTATTCTATGATCTTCTCTTTCCTACTTATCAGTATATTATGGGCATTCTTTCATGTTAGAATATATATAAAGTACCTCACCTATTTTTTTTTTTTTAACTTAATTGGATGCTTAGTAATGTGTACTAAGCATGTTAAGTGCTAAGGTTAACATTTATTGTTTTAATGATAAAATTGTTTAAAGTAATTAAATGATTGGAATGCAAATCTTAAATTAGTGGCAATTGAGTCTGCTAATGAATAGGATACAAAATCTTATTAGGATTCAAAATCTTCCACAAAATGCTGAAACTGTGTCTGGTAGCTATCAAAACCAAACTGACTACAAAATGTAGCCTCAAGAAAGATTTCAGAATTTCTTCAGAAATAAGAAGAGCAGAACTTAACCAACTGTGTTTCCGAACAAGATTCTTCTGCAAGATTGCTGTGCGAGGTTTCCTTACGCTTCTCAGTTTACTTTCTGACTGTTGGATTATATGTTACTCTTCTTACAATAATGTATGGTTTAGCTTTTGTTTTGTTTGATAGCTTCACATGGGTGTTTCTTTGGAAGCAGACATTTAGATGCAGGAGCTTGTTTTTTATGTCTGTGTTTCTGGATCTGCATGGAGTTTCTGGCTTATACTTAGGCTTTTTGGGTGTCAGTTAACTGATACATTAGGGTAGCTAAGTCATAAATCTAGTGATGGATGGCAGTGTGCTATTTAGATAATTGTAGAATCCTTGTGATATTAACAACTTCAGTCCTTTTTTTCATATACCAAAAAACTGCAGTTGCTAATATAACTAGGAATGATTGATGAACAGTAGGAATAAAAGATTGATTTTCCAAAGCATTTCTCAAATGTAGAATCACAATGAAAGCCTTGCATTGGCAGCAGATGGGTGAATATTCCTTTCTATAATAAGTTCCAAGAAGACTAAAATTTTAATGGCAATTCATTTATTGAAGGAGCCCTGGTAGTGTAGCAGATTACAAACTATACAGTTAATCACAAGGTAAGCCAATTGGATTTACCAGTTGATTCATGGGAGAAAGATGAGTCTTTCTGCTCCCATAGAAATCTGTTGTTGTTGTTAAGTGCTGTGGAGTCAGTTCTGACCTCGGGATTTCTGAGGAGAAGCTGGTGTGTTTGAACTGCCAACCTTGTGGTTCAGACAGCTTGGGAAACCCTATACAGGATTGCTATGAGTCTGAACCAACTTGGTGGCACACAATCACCACCACCACCACCACCACCATTATTGGTTGGTGAAGAAGGAAGGGGTTCAGGATGGTTTAACATGGATGAGCTATAACCCAGAAGTAGACTAATAAACAAGTAATTAATAATCATTAAGTTAATAGCAACCCAGGTAGATTGAATGGAAATAAATTGTTTCGTTTCTATTCCAAAAAGAGCATTAACTCACTGTTTCCTTGTAGTTAATTAATTTAAATCCTAAAACATGCTTAATATTAATTCTGGTATTTTGTTTGACAATAAAAACAATGCTTTCAGCAAGATGACTTCTTCTTTTTATATTAGAGTTAAATTCATAGGAAAAGAGAAAATATTTTACGTAGAAAACATATGCAGCAGAAAGTGAAAATCAGAAGTAGAACATATCCTTGTAGAGAATAGTAATTTCAGTACAAAGTGAAATCTCTGCAATCATACGGTAATTTTCTCCTAAACTCATTAAAACCACTTTTACTTACATAAGCTCAAAATTACAAAGAAGTATAATTACCTTTATTCTTTTTTTTTTGCATCTCACTCACAAAAATTTCTTTTACTTTTTGGTGTAACAACTCTTTATCTATGTCAGCATTGACTTTTATCAAAATGTTTTCTGGCTCTGAAAACCATTGCTCCAATAAAGGCCAGTGGTCCAAGAAGCCTGTAATTCTATAAAATAAAAATAGTATATGAACATCACATATTGACTGACATATTGGCACAGCATTAAGTATGGCTTATTTCACGGGGACAATAAAACAGTAGATTATCAAAATCATTGAATATGAAAAGGCATCTTTTAGAAACCTACAGGTAACGTGTTATCACTTATTTCAGATTTGAGAAGAAATCATTTAAAGCCATTAAGACTTTCTATTTTTTCCTTGAGAAACATGAAAGAGTAAAAGAAGAGTTGAAAAGTCACCATTTCAGGAAACCATTTACGTAAGTTGAGTTTCTTTAAGTGAAAATCTATGCAAACACAATGGACTCATGTTAGTGATGCTCATAGTTAAATAACCCTGAGTGCTCTCCTAATGGTAACTGCAGCCGAATCCACCATCTGCCATCTGCTTTTTTCTTAGAGACAGATATTGAAGAGATCTTTAAGTAAGGATAGATGGCTCAGATTTATTAACTTTATTCACCAGTTTTCTTGGAATGATTCTTGAACCCTTCATTTTTTACTTAAGAGAGGCAGCTTTAATGCAGCTCAGATGACTCTTCTCTGGCTCACTTCCTATTTTTAGACTGCTCCTAGTGGTTTCATGAAATCATCTAATTTTGTCTAAAATCTTCTTGTCCAGTGAGTAAATTGCATACATGCAAGAAAATGTCAGAAAACTTCATTATAACACAACAGAAATGGTCTTATAACTAAGCCCTGTCGTCTGAAGGATGTTGCTATTATTGCGTGTTGTCCAGTTGGTGCCAACACATAGTGACCCTATATAACAGACTAGACTGCCCCATAGGGTTTTCTGGGTTGTAATCTTTATAGAAGCAGATGGCCATGTCTTTCTCTCACGAAATCACTGGCAGGTTTGAACTGCAGACCTTGTGGTTAGCAGCGGAGTGCTTAATCATTGCGCTAACAGGGTTCCTAGTCTGATGGCTACATCCCTTGCCACTGAGTCAATCCTGGCTCCTAGTGACCATTAAGACATTGGAGAACTATCCTATAGACTTTCAAAGTCTGTAATCTTTACAGAAGCAGGTCGCCATGTTTTTCTCCTATGTAGCTGCTGGTGGCTTTGAACCACTGACCCTTAACCACATTGAAAACTCATAGTCTTCATTCATATTTGTTGAATGAAGATTGTGTAAGAAGCACTTGTAAATTACTGTAACTGTGAATGACAATGCTGCCTGATTTAATTTGCACCTTTTCTATATAATGATTTGTACTTTGAATGTAAGTGAGCATGTAACTATGTCACTCAACCTCAAACTTACTAAGCTTCGTTTAAACCTGTTGAAAAAAAATTGCCACCAACCATAGTTCCCACAGCACTTTCTACGTCTCCTTTGGGTTCAATAAGTCATTGCAATGACTATACAGAACTCAGACATTGTGTTGACAGTTAGGGGATTTATTAGCAAAGTTAACAAGTTACAAATCAGAGGCAAGAAATGCTCAGGCCACAGTTCTTCTAGTTAGAAGACTCTCCTCAGCTGTGCCCACATGCAGGGCTTTTTGCTGGGACAATAAAGTTTATTTAGGAGTGCAGAGAAATGGAGATGTGCTCAAAGGAACTCCATTCCAGTATAAGACTCAGCCCGAAGGCTCTTGGCTTAGCTCCATGGGTCAGCATACATATTGTTAGGAGTTATTGATTCATCTTCAACTCACGGCAACCCTATGAACAACAGAACAAAACAATGTCCGGTCCTGCACCATCCTCACAATTGTTGTTATTCTTCAGCCTATTGCTGCAGCCACTGTGACAAGCCGTCTCGTTGAGGGTCTCCCCCTTTTTTTTTTCTGATCCTCTTCTACTTTACCAAGCATGATATCGCTCTACAGGGACTGGCATCTCCTGATAACGTGTCCAAAATATGAGAGAAGAAGTCTCGCCATCCTGGTTTCTAAGGAGCATTCTGGCCCTACTTCCAACACAGATTTGTTTCTTCTTCTGGCCGTCCATGGTGCTTTTAATATTCTTCTCCAACATCATAACTCAAATGCATAGATTTCATGGTCTTTCTTACTCACTGTTCAACGTTCACATGCATATGAGGAATTGAGAATACCATAGCTTGTGTCAGGCAGACCTTAGTCCTCAAACTGACATTTTTGCCCATGAACACTTTAAAGAGGACTTGTGCAGCAGATTTGCCTAATGCAATACTTTGTTTGATTTCTTTACAGATGCTTCCATGAATGTTGATAGTGGATCTGAGCAAAATGAAATCTTTGATGATTTCAGTCTTTTCTCCATTTATCGTAAGTTATTTATTGGCCCAGTGGTGATGAATTTTATTTGCTTTACCTGAAGGCTGTGTCTTTTAATTTTCATCAGTATTTTAACTCCTCTTTGCTTCCAGTAAGCAGATAGTATCATCTATATATAGCAGGTTAACAAGTCTTTCTCCAATCTTGATGCCATTTTCTTCTTCACCTAATTCAGCTTCTTGGATTATTTGCTTATTAAACAGATTGAGTAAGTATGGTGAGAGACTACTTGATGTGCACCTTCTCTTATTTGAAACTATTCACTATCCCTGTGTTCTCTTCAAATGACTGTCTCTTGGTCTATGTACAGGTTCCTAATGAGCACAATTAAGTATTCTGGAATACCCATTCTTCACAGTGTTATCCATAACTTGTCATGATCTACACAGTCAAAAACCTTTGCATAGTCAATAAAGCTCAGGTAAACATCTTTTTGGTATTCTGTGCTTTCAGTCCTTGGCTTGCGATATTTTGTTTATAGAATCTTCATTATTTCAAGTTGAGGACTGAGTTTTCTCTTCAGTTCTTTCAGCTTGAGAAATGCTGAACATGTTTTTCCATTTTGGTTTTCTAACTTCAGGTCTTAGCAAACCTAGATTCCCCAATCCCCAATTAAGAACTTGGAGACACCCCACTTTACAAGAAAGTCTTATGCCTAAAGTCACTCAGCTTTACTTGCTCTTTTTGCTGGGAAGTTCAATAATAATAATAAAAAAATTCTGTCTTGGATTCTGGTTCTTGGTTTTGCTGCTGCTGCTTCTCTGCCACTTCTCTGGTGTCACGGCTTTCTGTTCCTCAGTCAAAGAGGTTCAATGCACAGGGATCTCTGGGTTCATAGGGCGTACTCCACTACTGGCTCTCCTTTGATGGTAGAGAGGTACCCTCTCCTGCTTCTGAGATGGCTCATTTTCAATTCAATGGAATGGTAACATTAACCAATCACCTCATTAGAGTTCCAAGTGTTTACAATCACAATCCTGTTAACAATAACTTACAAGTGAATCATATCATCCACCAGCATCTTCTTGTACCTTCTCTTCGTTTGGTGGCATTTACAAAGACTATAGCTAGAGTTCTGGTATGGCACCATAGGATAATCACTGGACTGCAAGACCAGTTTGAACTTCAAGCTTTGTGGTTCAAACTCACCAGCTGCTACTCAGAAAACCTATACACGGTTGCAATGAGCTGGAACCAAGTTGATGGCACTTGACAATAACAACAATGAGTAGAAAAGACAATAAATAATTCACTACACTTCACCTGTAAAAGGCTGAATGCTAGCAGATATATCGTTTTTCTAATTCTGATGATTCCAAAGTAGCTAATTTTAAGTCTTTTCAAAGGGTAAGAATAAGAAGCAGACATTTAGATTTAAACTAACCTGTGCTGTATTTGGTCTTTTAAAGTTTGGTTCCCATCTTCATCTTGAGTATCAGCAGCTACATGTTGACTGATAACTTCAGGAGAAGTTTCACGTACAAATGTTTCAGCTGAGGCATGAAAATTACTTAATCAGATAATCTGTTAGTCAAATGCTACTAGCTACAAAATAGAAGGTTGCAAGAATGCCAAATAATGATTGGTACAATGTTATTTTAAATTGTCTAACAGTACTGTAAAAGAGATCAATTTGGGAATTAAAATTCAAATTTTCCTTGAAAATTGTAGAAAATGCAATCCAGTGCAACACTAGAGAGAAGCTGTAGTTTCATTGTAAAGGATCTCAGGGTTGGTTATGAAGAACAAATAAGAACAAAAATTATTGGTCATCGTGAACAGTGTGCTTGGAAAGACTTAGCCAAATTAGTAAAAGTAATGAATTGACAGGGCATTCAAAAATTTAAAAAGCATAAAAATGAGACATTTGTTAATATTATATTGTAATACAATAAAATAATTTCATTGTTTCCAGACTTTATAGCCCCCCCATAAAATAGATGTAAGGAGTTGAACATAAGAGACCCCAAAGCAAAAAACAATGTCTGCAATTCTGACTAAGTCCTATTCTGAATTAATGGTAGAAAGTTCAGAATACTTAAGAATTTAAAATAAGTGGAAAACCGTAAAGAGGCAATAAAGACTTGAATTAGATCAAAGGAATTAGAATTACTCAATGAATGCATGAGAACATTGAAGAATGAATTAATAGTGCTGAAGAAAATGAAGGACTGTCATGGTGTACAGCAATCAGTGTTCTCCATCTACATTCATGATAGAACAAGAGGAATTTAGAATACAGAATAATGCATTTAGGTTATTTATGAAATCCAAAGCTGACTGACATCAGAATGGGTGATGGAAGAAGATTGTGGGGGCTCTTCTTGGGAGATGCTATCACTACCTCACATGTGTCAAGGATTTTAGCACTTGGAACAGCAGTGCTGCCTACCCAAAACCTGCCCAGGCATCTGCCAGTTCATCTTCTCCTCCCTTCTGCCTTCACTCCCATGATCACATCCTAGATTTTGTGATCACCTGATTGTCACTATATCTGAAACCCTGACAACTATATTTTTACCACAGGCTTTTATACTCTGGCACTACCATATAGCTGATGAGTTTCTTCAATGTCATTTAGTAACTAAATTCTTACCATTTTTTCAAATTTACCTGATTCCACTTTATTTTAGGGTGTTGGTGGTTATGTGCTGGGAAGTCGGTTCTAACTCATAGTGACCCTGCATAGAGTTTCTGAGGCTGTAAATCTTTACAGGAGCAGAAAACCTATCTTTCTCCTGTGGGATGACTGGTGGTTTCCAACTGCTGACTTTGAGCTTACCAGCCCAACTCGTAATCAGTACGCAACCAGAGCTCCTTGTTGTTGTTGTTGTTGTGAAGTGCTGTCGAGTTGGTTCCGGTCCATAGCGGCCCTATTTAGGGTTTCCAAGGAGTAGCTGGTGAGCTATACGCAACTTATATTGCACAGAATCTAATGGGAGTTAATGGAAACTAACAGAAGTTAATGGAAAGAAATAAAGTAAAAGAACTGAATAGAAATTTCAAGAAGACAAAGTGAAGTATAATAAAGAAATGTACAAAGGCCTAGTGTCAAAACCAAAAGGGAAGAACATACTCAGCATTTCTCAAGTTGAAAGAACTGAAGAAAAAAAATCAAACCTCAGCTTACAGTATTGAAGGATTCTATGATGTGGCACTGTGGATAAGAACTGGACAGTGAACCACAAAGTCAGCAGTTCAAACCCACTAGCTGCTCCTCAGGAACCCTATATAGGGTCGCTATGAATTGGAACTGACTCAATGGCACTTAACAACAACAAAAAATGGGCAAAATATTGAACTAAAGAGGAAGCACCGAAAGAAGATAGAAGAAATACACAGAATCACTGTACCCAAAAGAAATGGTTGATATTCACCTATTTCAAGAGGTAACATACGATTAAGAGCCAATGGTATTGAAGGAAGAAGTCCAAGTTGCATTGAAGGCATTAATGAAAAACAAAGCTCCAGTAATTGATGGATTACAAATTTAAATCTTTCAACAAGCTGATGCAACACAGGAAGTTCTCAATAGAATCTGCCAAAATATATAGAAGACAGCCATCTGGCTAACTAACTCAAAGAGAACAATATTTGTGCCCATTTTTAAAAAAGGTGATGCAACAGAATACAGAAATTATTGAGCAAGATCATTATGATCACATATGAATAGCGTTTTGCGGAAGATGATTAAAAAACAGATGCAACAGTATACCAAGAGGGAGTTGCCAGAAATTCATGATGGATTCAGAATAGGAAGTGAAGCGAGATATTATTACTGATATCACATGAATCTTTGCTGTAAGCAGAGAATACCAGAAAAGTTTTCCTAGTGTTTTATTGATTACAAAAAGATATTCAACTGCATTGTTGTTGTTGAGTCAGTACCGACTCATAGCGGCCCTATGTACAACAGAACAAAACACTGCCCAGTCCTGGGCCAACCTCACAATTGTTGCCATGCTTGAGCGCATTGATGCTGCCACTTTGCCAATCCATCTCACTGG